CGCCCGCGCACTGCGCCGGGCCCGGGCGCCGCATGGGAGGTCAGGTGTTGGCCGCCGCGCCACCCCCTCCCGCGCCGCCTCCGCCGGGTCCCCGAAGACCGGTTTCTACGAAACTTAGGGAGAACCTTTCGCTTTGACCTCTGAAAAATATTCCACACCGCCCGCGCTGAATGATTAACCAGGCTGCCCGCCCGAGACGGTGGGGCGGCCGGGCCGGCGGGGCTGCGGCCGAGCCCCGGGCGCGGTGGAGACTGCGGGGCGCCGGAGGACCCTTCCGGAGGCGGCGAGGTCCAGTCGCCTTGCGGATTTCCAGACCGCGACGTTTTGCCTCCGGCCTGGGGAGCCGCCGGAATCTCCCCTCCCCGTCTCGTCAAGCGGAGGAGCCCAGGACGGGCTCCCCCACAAGTGCCGGAGCGTGAAAGAGCATCTTTAAAAATAATACGATATATACATTTATACTCTGGGTGGGCGAGTAGGCTCGCTCCCGCCGAAAACGTAGGGAAGGCTTGTCTTCGCTCCTCTGCTCCCCGCACAAGGCCCCTTCAGCCTCCCCAACTCCTCAGATTGTTTGGAACAATTAAATTCTATTCTCCTGCCCCTCCCTTGTGGGAGTCTAGCCTTTCTGGTTGCGGAGCCAGTTGAGGAATATGGGCTTCTGCTTGTTATAACAAATTCTTCCAGTGTAATTATTTGTGCCTCGGGAGATGAAGGGGTGGTTAACGAGGTGGTCACAGGCCGGGACCGATACTAAGAAGGCGGGGCCCGGGTCGAGCCCAGTCGGGGTTGCACTGTGGTCTCGGTCTTATCCGTGCGGATCTGACAGCTGACCAGGAGGGAGGACCAGCGCGGCAGGGCAGTCGCTTCAACTAAATCCTAGGTCTCAGTTCTGTTTCTTCTGAATAGAGGTTAAACGTGGCGGAATTTGGGGTGCGCCTGTCTGCGCTCTTAAACTAGATTAGTTGTTAACAGAGATGTCCAGGCTCTGTGTAGAAAGATCTCTGCTTAAATAATTTGAGTTAACCTTTTCTCTCCTGCCCAGCCCTTAAAAATGTGTTTATCGTTAAATCTTCTGTTTTGAAACTTTTTTTAAAGTGTGGAATATTGCTTTTTCCCTTGGGACTCTCCCTATACAGCAAGGGGTCACTTCTAAGGGTTTTTTTGTGTGTGTGTGCAGATGAATGCCCTAATTCTCCATTAAATTTGTATGAGCCTCTCCCCCCACTCACCCATTGGTCTTGATTCTTCCACGTACTGTTCAGTGATCTGGGGCAATTTATTTTTCACCTGAGCCTCCTTTTTTTTTTTTTTTTTCACATCCGGCTTTGGTGCTGGTAGTGTCTGCTTTATGAGATTGTTTTGAGGACAAATTGGATGACTGTCGAAGAAGTTAAGTGTTAAGAAGTGAAGAAGTGGCTAATGAGGGCTGATCTTGGCTGTAATTAATATAGAAGTTCTGCTGGCATCAACTTCCCCTTACTGCAGACTGACGCTGTAGGAACCCCTTTACATTTATGAGTCCCAAATCAGCCAAATTTGTTTAAAGTCCAAGGAATGAGGTAGTCTTTTGAGAAAAGTGAATATAGTTTGCTTGTTATAAAACTTACAGATTGATTTTTTTTTTTCCCCCCCTGGGCTTCTGAAGGAGGACAGGGTATATAGATGGCTTATAGATTTGAAGATTTCCTTGTTTTAGAAAAATCATGGTTTAGATTTCTGTAGTAGTAATATACTACAGTTATGCTAAAAATAGGAAAGTATAACTGATAATTCATGGTTGATTCTTTTTTCATTGTACTGTTTCCTCAAATGTGTGTGTTTTTTTTTTTTTTTAAAGAGTCATATTAAGAAACAGGAAGATCCACACACATAAATCATCTATGTGTATAGACTTTACTTGATGTATTGTTGGGTAAAGCTAATATGTTCTAGGTAGAAATGTGTGAGGCTTTTTCAGCTAATGGAGGGACTAGAAGATAAATTCTTTGTTTCCCAAAACATTAGCTTTTAATGTTTTCTAATAATGCTTTTTATAAAAAACAAATAAGCAAACAACATAGTTTAGGAATACTGACCCATTCCTGAAGTGCTCAGGGTCAGTGCTTTTAATTTTTTCTAACTTAATGGACAGAATAGGTTTTTTTCTTTTCTTTATTTGGTTGGTTTGTTTTTTATTTTCTGACAGTTTTACCGAACAGTCTACTAAGATTTTAAAAATTGCTAAATGAAAATGGTCTTATAAATACTGAACTCTTGCAAGTGGAATACTTTTTGGTTATGTAATCCATTGCAACACTCCCGCTGGTGGTGCATAAATTACCAATACTGAATTACTCTCTGTCTTATACGGGTATACCTAAGGTAAACTAACAGTATTTCTATCGGTTACCTTGGTTTTTTTTTTTTTTTTTTTTTTTTTGGTGTGTGTCAGAGTTTAAACTGAAGATTAAACTAAGCTTTGGTCATTTGAAAGTGGTAAATATTTGCTGGCTGCATAATCAAAAGCATCCAGGAAAGGTGACCACACCTAGCACCAGCAGGTATGGACCTAGCTGTTTTTTCTTCCCCTCTAAGATGGGATAACTGTTGGAAAGTCCTTGCCAAATACGTCTCCCCGCTGTAGGAAGAAATATATTCCTCTCTCTGGAGAGGCAATTACTGTTTGGATAAGAGGTGTGTGTATGTGTGGGGTAAGGCTATGAGAGATTTGATGTAATGATTTCATCATCGCCCACTGGTGATGAGACTGCAAAGCTGCAGTGAGAAGAACTTGTTACTTGGTGGAGAATTTGTTTCCCAATTATTTTACTGCTAGAAAAATGTATTTGTACTGAGTTTTCTATTTTTTTTTTTTCCAGCTTTGAGTTGAGGTTTTCACACTTAGTTTTCATTGCCTCTACTGAGTTTTATGTCCTTTGCTCATCAGCTGTGTTGTCTTGGGTTGACTTAATTTTTGTAACAAAAACTCAAACTTTTAAGAATCAATGTTGATAAAATTATAATGTAGATTTTGAAAGGTTTGTTATTTTAGCATTTCTGTAGATAGGTCTAAGAGCTTTGCTATAAATTATTTTCTGTGCTCTATAAACATTCCCTTGTAACATGGTTTAACTTTTTTGTTTTCAAGTTCTGCTGTAGCTGCAGAGGGGAAATTCCCAGTAGCCAGGAAATTGATACTTTCTACTTTTCATTCTGTGGCATTTTAAACAGGCTTATTGTTCAAAATGTCTGCATTCTGATTTGATTAATATGTACATTGCTTATCAGAATGTTTTTTAAAATTGATTATGTAAGGTGAGCAGTTCTGTAGTGTGGCTTAGTGGTTATGAACATGGACTTGAGGTTGATTGGATAAGGATTTTTTTAAATTGAGGTATAGCACACAGTACCACTGCAAAGAACTAAGTGAACTCCTGTACGTGTTTTTCACCGCTAAGATCAAGAAGGAAACACTTTCACTGCACCAGAAGGTTCCTGCGCTGCTTTCTAGTCAGTACCCACTCCCCACAGGGAACTGGTATTCTCCCATCATCATCATAGATGTAACACAGCGTGTAACTTGATTTGGCTTGTTCCTAACTTGTATGAGAAGAATGACTGAATCATACAGTATGTGAAGCAGACCTGGATTTGAGTTCTTTTTTGCCATTCACTGCATTACTGTGGACAAGTTACTTACACTCTCCAGACTGCAGCTTTCCCAGTGTAAAATGATGGAGATAAAGCCTTATCCATAGATTTGCTGGGGAAAATGATTGTGAATGGTACACCTAAAATACCTGACGCTGTGCTTGATGTGCAGGTTCTCTTCCCCTTTTTATTTGGTTAAAGAAAGGTGGTAACTAAGTAATATCTGTTCAAATGT